ATCCTTTAAAATCATCCAAATTACTTTTACATCATCGAAATTAAATATAACAAAAAATGTACAAAAAGTGTGGCTTTGTGTTGCCATTTGAATTCGGAAGCTTCTTGAGACATTAAAAAACATAAAATCATATTGTTTTACGAAACAAATTAAAAAGTACCAGTTTTTTTAAATCGTCCAAATCACTTTTAAATCATTCAAATAAAATATAAACATAATAAACACATAATTTAATTAGTGTTGCTTCACACTGGTAAAATGATCCACAAGTTATTCTTAACACAGTCGTTATATGTATATATTTACTCATCGTTGTTTAGATAGATTGTAAATAAAGGCCTAGAGGTTGAACAAAAATAAATAAATAAAACATATAGAAAAATGTAAGGAGATTGATCCATCAATAAGCAAACAATCAAGCCGTTTTCCAAAATAAATTAGAAATTACTAATTTTTTTAAGAATTATCCAAATCACTTTTCCATGTTCATGCAATTCTAATCTCCAAGAAGAAACACAGAATGAAAATAGAAAAAAAAATGCAGAAATAGTGTGACATCCCGAAGTCTTAATATTGAAAATGCTCTCGAGACGTCGAAAAGCGGAAGATTAAAGTATTTTCCTCGATAAATCGGACGAAAGTAGCTTTCAGCGGTTGGTTTCATTGAATGAAAAGCACTTTCCTGATGATTCTAAAATGTCTCGGCCGCAGAACTCGCGAACAGGGTGAAGTACGTAAGGGGTTTACCTTACCAACTAGCAGCGGAGCGTAACAGTCGATTTGTCGATGCTGTTAGTGTACGTCGGACATGAATTGCAGGTGATCAGAATGCTGTTCGTAATTGTGCTGGAATTCTTCATCTGTTGGGCACCGCTGCACGTGATCAATACTTGGTATCTTTTCGCCCCGGAATTGGTATATTCTATGGTCGGAAGTACAGGCGTTAGCTTGGTGCAGTTACTCGCCTATGTTTCCAGTTGCTGCAATCCCATCACTTACTGTTTCATGAACAGAAAGTTTCGCCAAGCGTTCCTGGGCCTTTTCAACTGCCATCGTTGTTGGAGGTAATCAATGCCAACTTCTGCCTTACCTATCCTTCACGCGCTTTTGCTTCTCCGCGGAACTTGCATCACCGGAGGAAACGGCGAATGTTCCGGAGTCGGTTAAATAGAATTTGCAGCGTTGGAGTTAATACATAATTAAACATGCTTATACAATCACAGGAATATTTCGGCTAATATGTTGTATTAGATTGTGTAATAATTTTCATTGTGTTTTCACATGAGATTAATTACTCAATTAATATCGTATGTACAATTTTGATGCCTAATCATTCATCATCTTTTTGGTAACTTCTAGGTGTGAAGTACTTGCTCTTTTATTGCGACATTCAAGCACTTGCATGTTCGTTTCTTTTATTTCAAGAGGAATTTTCTTTTTCCTTTCATTAAAAGTGATCTTTCGGAACTTTTGCATATGTTTTTATTATACATCTAACATTTTACAGAAAGTCTTTCAATTTCATTCAACTAAAAAAAATAGTTTTTTATCGTCTGTAGATTAGAATGCTCCACGAAATCACTAAGTTCCAAAATTAGTTTTCATTTCATACGCAATTATTGTTTGATCTATCAATAACAGGAAAATTAATCATTAGAGAAATGTATAAACATAAATGTTTCATTTTATGATAATTAAACCGAAAATGTACGATCTGTTCACTTGCTTCTAGATCAAAAAGGATTATGACTTAATATTGCTGACTGGTTGCGAAGAAGTTGTTTCGAGAGAATAGCGTTTAAAGTTTTCAATAATTTGTCGGCGTGATGCATTGCTGTCTTATTTATATAGCAAATTTCTGCCTCTATTCTAGAATTAATTAAACTGATGTTTCATTACAGGAATTGCACAGCAATTGAAACGAATAAGAGTTAGCTGTAACAAGGACTAAAAAAACATGATTAACGCAGTAAAACATTATAAAAAAATTGAACTTCGAATGTGATCACATATTTAAAGGTGTGTTTCGTCGTATGTTGACATGGTAGAAGAATTGATGCGAAATCTAAACTAGTTATTTGCTGCTTCATTTTAAACATTGTCTACTGTTTCGTCGACAATAGGCTTTATTAGCCTGCTATCTTCCAAGTTTTTACTTTCGAACCTTTTAATCTACTGTTGAGTAGTTCTCATTTATCAAAAATATCGTCACCATATAAATCATAAATTTTTGTTCTTTTTCAATATGTTTCTCCTCTAGGAAATAAAAAAAATGCATTAAATGACGAGAATAAATGTTTTAGGTAAGAAAACTGAAAAAACAGGCTGATACTAATTACGAAACATTTCTGGACCATCCTTAACTTGATACGCTTATTTTTCACAGCTAACAAGAAAAACAATTCTAAATAACACGAATTAATTTATTATGCAACCTAATACACGTATTACTTACGTACATATACGGCGAGCTTTAGAATCTGAAATAAGCAAGAATTTTTGCAGAAATTAATTTTTATTTAGGGTCAAAAATATAATTAGATTGAGAATCTTCATATAAAATAATATCGATTTTCGACCATATCAATAATTGAAAACAAATCTTTCTAATCTGTAAAATCCAGCTGCCCACTACTGCCGTAAATGCATGATGGTTTCTTTGAATCAACGTAATCAACGCAGTAACCTTTGAGAGAAAACCTTATTTAAAAATGTAATTGCGTCGGAAAAGTAATATTGTGTACAAGCTCAGAATGTCATTCCACTTATTTCATATTTCCAGAACAATTTCATGTTTCATTTCGAAAAATTTGACATAGCGTGCAAAAATCTCGTGCACAGGTACTTTGACCGATACAGTTCTATGCTTCTTATACGTGCACGTTTTCCATGCGTACATCGTGTGCAGTTTGAATCATAATACGTGCAGTTATTTACGCACATTAATATTCCCGCACCTTTCAATAACAGAAAACCTTTTCAGAAACTGAATGAAATGACGAATTTTTTTAAAGGAACTAATTTACTGTACAATTACTAAAATACTTTTTTCTAAATTTTGTCGTTACTTGTTTGTGAAGTCAATTGATGCACAGTCAAGCAACAGGCATTGAAAAATGTAAAAGTTTGCACATTTCTTACGGTTATCGGTCGAAAGTATTGAAAATTGTTAGAAAGATGTGATTTTCACGATTCTTGAATTGTTTTTAGCTGATAACAACGTCAACTAATTTCGATGAAATTACAGAAATCTACAAAACGCATTGTTTAAATTTTCGTTATAACCTCAGATAAAAAGGTTAAAAAACGTGAGTTTTTTATTTTTTCTCTCATTTCAAGCAGTTGTAACTTTTTTCAAAAAATTTGTAGATATTACCTAGTAAATTAATCTCTCTAACATTTCATAAAAAATAAAATACAAGTCATTTAGTCAACTTTTTAAAAAATTATCCGTTTTATTTGTTTTAAACAATTGCCTGTTGCAATCTCTTTGAAGAGTGCATGTGTGGCTGTTATTATACATATGAAATTAAGTTATAACAAAATGAATTTTGTGGTTTTTCATTTTATTACTAATATTTATTTATTTATTTAACTTAAACAGTTCGCTGACTTCGTGTTAAGTATGTTCGTAAAATAGTGCTAACTGGTTAAAAGGTGATCGAATATTAATACGAGTCACTGTACATGTAATAGTAACAGCAAGAACAATGGCGTTATTTTTCCGCAATGATCTGTGTATTTAAATTTCAGAGTAGGGTGCAGAGACGGCGACGTCGCCATGACGTCGACGAGGAACGCCATACAGGTTGGAAACAACAGTGAGCTGAGCGGTAATGAATCGACAATCTACCTTGGAAAGGCTTCGCTTGTTGCTAAATCCGGTAATATGCTTTAATTTTTTATTAATATTAACCCTTAACGGTCCAACGCCGCTATACACGCGGCAGAAATCAATAAAACCGTAAAATCTGACAGGAAACATTGGAAGAATAGGCACGATTGTTTCGATGAAAATATATCCAACGAAGTTTTAATTAAAAAATGAATATCTCTTCTCTATATTTGATACAAAAATTTTCAATAAAAAATTTCTCTTCGTCTGAAAAACAGTCTGGACTTGGCACTGTGTAAACTGAAAATAAATAATTTTGGTCCCCCAAGGGTAAATTTCATCAGGCATTGTTCGTTTCTTTGTCGACTGACTCGAATGCGTCAGATCGCAAGCATAATCTTGCTTTTCGTCCTGCAAGATCCATTTTCCTATTTTTCGTGGTTTCCATTGAACGTAAACGTTGAATCACTGTCGAATTATCAATGTCTTAGGAGATTTACAATCTTAACCATGCAGCGGTTACGTTTGTAAAAATTCTTTGTTGACTCGAGATTCACTAAAAGTTACAGCAATACAAAAGTTCTGTTCTCTTAATTTCTGAAAGAATCACACAAAATAGTGAATAACTAAAATAATAACAAATGAAAGAGATAGTAAAATTAAAAGAATTACTAATACTTGTAATATAATATAATATACAGGCTGTTCCACAATTATTTTAACAGCCGAAAATAAGGGGTAACTGAGGTCATTTGAAGTAACATTTTCCTTTGCGAAAATGCAATCTACGGCTTTGTTTACGAGTTATTAACGGAAAACACTGACCAATGAGAGGTGGCGGCGCGAAGTTCGAGAGCCTGCAGCACGAGGCTTTGACAGATGGTCGGGACGGACTCGAGCCGCGTTCGAAGTATTGAACAGATCACGAAGCGAGAACTTTCCGGGTTATTTTTACTACGTAACAATGATATTTTTAAGAAAAACGCTGTTCACCTTTACTTTAGAGCGTCTGAAGAATATTTACTAATTTTTCGGACCCGAAATAGTAAGTAATTTAACCGTGACGGCCGTTTTAATTTTCTAGTGTGCATGACACCTTGTGTGTAACATATGAAATTTTTAAGCAAGGTGTACAATGAAGATTAACAAAGTACGTAAATGATATTTTAATTTAAATAATTCCGTGTCCGAATACAGTTCAACGAATGATTCGCAAAGCTAATTTAATAAATAATAATCGTGTTAAAGGACGTAAGGCATATGTTTGCTAGAGAAATATGAAGAATATAATCAATGACCTTGACATAACCTTGACATATGAAGTCATGTCATGTCAAGGTCATATTACGGTCATGTCAAGGACATGTCAAGGTCATGTCAAGGGCATATCAAGTTCATATCAAGGTCATGTCAAGGACATCAAGGTCATATCAAGGTCATATCAAGGACATATCAAGGTCATGACAAGGTCATATCAAGGTCATGTTAAGGACATGTCAAGGTCATGTCAAGGTCAACATATGAAATTTTTAAGCAAGGTGTACAGTGAAAATTAACAAAGTACGTAAATGATATTTTAATTTAAATAATTCCGTGAACGAACACAGTGCAACGAATGATTCGCGAAGCTAATTTAATAAATAATAATTGTGTTAAAGGACGTAACATAATATTCTTCATATTTCTCTAACAAACATATCCCTTACGTCCTTTAACATGATTATTATTTATTAAATTAGCTTTGCGAATCATTCGCTGAACTGTGTTCGGACACGGAATTATTTAAATAATTAATAAATAATAATATTTCGGTCCGAAAAAATAGTTTATATTCATCAGACGCTCTAAAGTAAAGGTGAACAGCGTTTTTCTTAAAAATATCATTATTACGTAGTAAAAATAACCCGGAAAGTTCTCGCTTCGTGATTTGTTCAATACTTCGAACGCGGCTCGAGTCCGTCCCGACCATCTGTCAAAGTCTCGTGCTGCGGGCTCTCGAACTTCGCGCCGTCACCTCTCATTGGTCAGCGTTTTCCTTTAATAACACGTAAACAAAGCCGCAGATTGCATTTTCGTAAAGGAAAAAGTTTCTTCGAATGGCCTCAGCTACCCCTCATTTTTGGCTGTTAAAATAATTGTGGAACACCCTGTATATATGTCATGTTATATTTTTATGTATTAGACTATATATTGTATATATTGTATAAATTTGTAGATTTTTAATTTTTATAACATTTACAAAGAAATTTTTCTGCGATAACTACACCTATAATTAACAATATAATTATAATATTCGAAATCATGAGTTTGACACTTTATTATATAACATACATTGTATGAAGATTTACTGGTGCCACTTATAAGTCCCGTATCAAGCACTTACTTTATATGTAAATTTGTATGTAAGTGATTTACTCAAAATCGTGTGAAGAATGTCTTTAAAATTCGAGGAATTTATCTCCAAATTTTCTCATCTATACAGTTTTTTTGAAGTAATTGCTACAGTTTTTCCTTACAATCACTAGAATTAAGATAACGATGTGAAACGTTCTGCACACATGGTAAGTATTCACTAAATAATAATAATAATAATAATAATAATAATAATAATAATAAATTCACACCGTATTAATTAAAGAATATCACTAATAGTATTTACTAAAGTCTGACAAGAAACTGAGGAAAAATCAAATTTAGTTTTCTATAACAATAGTTTTAATATTTTTGAGAGTATATAAAAGTAATGGAGATTTTCTCAAACTATAAATAGAAACATATAAATGCATAAAGGTCGTCAGTATAACAGTCATCGTTAATTAAGAACTATGCACTTTTTCAATGAGTATCAGGATTTTGAACACCATCTGCACAGAACTTTTGTGAAGTACGGCTGATTCATAGCTCCTTTGCTTCTCTTCGGAACAAGAAACGCTCAGCCCGCTTTTTTATTCCTTTGAAGATATAGCAATCACTATACGTTAAATCAGGCAAATAAGGAAGATGCATTAGCAATTTCCTTCGTAGACCTATCAAAAACTTGATACTTTCGAAACTTTCAAAACTTCCACTCCTTTCTCAGAAGAAAATGAATGCTGTTTGTGAACTTATGCATCTTTCATAAATCCAAAATGATGAAAGCTTTGCAGAACTAAAGAATGTCTGTAAGCTAGTTTGTCAGATGTCTCCAAAATGTCCATCACTCATCCCTCGAGAGATAGCACTTCACTTCTTTTTTATAACTTTCTGACACAATTCCGGCACTATGTCGTCTGTAACAACGAAAATTTTTATACCTGAGATGACGAACCCTTTATGAATTATCCGCACAAAGCTTAGCCTTTAGACAACCGTAAAGAAAAAAATCTGGAACGACAAAATCGCATAATCTCGTTAGCCAGTAGACGTCACACGTGGATAAAATTAGATGGTCTGGGAATATACTTTTCAGCAAATTGATTCTGTCATGAGAAGTATAGAATATAGCAGAGTTGAGCAAAACATTCATCCACCATTAACGATTGAATTGCTACTGTTAATAGTTAATCGCAATTAACAATTGAATTTCTTACAATTACTTATCGCGATTAACGACTAACCCCTTCTACCCACGATACAAAAATATAATGAAGTATTAAACATAATAAAGGTAATTCTTAACAGAATTACATCAAGATATCCTTCCTTTTTTCTTTTAAAAATACATTTTCGTCGATTAATGCCTTTAATCCTCTTTATCAATCATTTGATCAAATTACAAATTTTAATCGATCGAAGTCCAGCACCGGAATATAGTGTCGGTCTAATAAAGTCACAACTTATCGAGGATTTACATTAAAAATTTAGAATTTAGAAAAAAGAATAATAAAACTGAAAAAGACAAAGAATAAATAAAATATACAAAGGTAAATAAAAATACGAAATTAAAGAATTATACAAAAGTAAAATTAATATTTTCGTCGACGTAATATAAATTTTTGTCCTATGTTAAGAAGGTTTACTACACCCAAGAATATGCATTTGTGTATCATGTTTCTTAATGTCAGTAAGTGTATAAGAATCTTTAACTTGTTGCAATAAATTTATAAAAATGACAAAATTTGAAAAATGATACTTCATGTTTGGTTACAAATTAATTACGACCTCCTCAGGGCTAACACATCATAATATTCACAGTGTTCGTTCAATAATGTCACTCTAAAACGATGAACATGTCGCGTCGGTAGTTTTGAACAAATTTGGGTAGGTCAGAGTTGATTAGACTGATAGAAACGATAGCGGCAGCTGCCGCACCTACCACGGGCTTAGTATAAATGGATATTTTGTTTACTTGCTGTGACTGGTTTCATTAAATGCACTTGGACCGTTTATTTGCACTTCCTAATATTATAACCACCCAAAACGTTGTTTACAGCTAACGTCGGTTTTAATCCTGTAAACAAATTACACAATATTCGCTTAATACGAATGTAAACATCAATTTTGATGCAACTTAGAAATGTATTTAACCTTCTATTTATCACAATGTTGCAAAAGTATCATGTTCTGTCCTTTCTCCTTCATAATCAAGCAGATTAACCATTATAATTTTTATCGTTTACTTCATGCATCCAAGAAAATTCAATCTCTTTAAATTTGTTAATTCCATATTAATTTGTATGAAAATATTCATATTTTTACTATACACGGAAATTTATTGAAGCCATTTTTCTTAATAATCCTCTTCTAACCACTGTGTCTTAATATATCATTTAAACAAACTATATTTTAATATATTGTTTAAACA